TGATTTTTTTCTCCATTTGGCTTATTTTATGTTACTTTGGCTTCTCTGTGCCTTCTGCTGAAGATGCTCCGTGTTGCATGTATGGACTTTGGGGCTCCGTAACTTTGGGATACACTACAGATACACAAGACTCTGCAATCTTCCCGCTCTTTTTCAAGAGTTTCTTTTCAGAGTGTTATCCTTCCCTTACTGGAACACTTTTTTTGACTCCTAAGTTTTTGCAGAGTTTGAGACTTGACATCCTCACACGTTTGGCAGGTCTTTAACACCTGGATGTTCTGGTCTTAGTGCAGGTTTTCATCAAGCGTCTGGTGCAGGCTTTGCCTTGTTGTGGCTAAGGCTACTGCTTTCTCTCCATCATGTAGAAGCAGAACGAGAGCGCTGTGAGCGCTGGAAATGTGAGGCGATCAGCATGTTTAGGTTTAAAGACAGATGGTGAACGCACTGTTCGGCGCAATCGGGCCTGTTTCTGGAACCCAATCGATCGCAACTGAATGGTTTCGTCCCATTGTTTCTGGAATTGTAAAAGTTGGTGTGATTGCTTCCTTTTCTGCTCGCGTTGAGGTTCAGTCAAAGTGTCGAGCTGTGATCAAGTGTGTGTGTGTGGTTCGCGTTGTCCTACGGTACGGCTAGTTTGTGTTCAGCACTTAAAGTGCAGTCCATGCCCCACGTTGGTCAGGCATGGAACAATGAGGCTCAAGCAATGAGGCATTTGTCTAATTTTCTGTGCATGAAGCTTTGAAACGCTTTGTGCCCTTGAAACATCAAACTCTGTGGTACACTAGAAGTCACTGGCACAGTTTAGGAGTAGTCACTTGCTGTAGCATTGCACAATCCCCTTTGTGGTGCACGTTGTTGTTCCGATAAATGAAAGAACTATAAGATAATGAACAATTTTCATTTGGCAGTAATTTTGCAAAAGAGTGACATTTGGTAAGAATTGCTTTGTAGAGGCATCTCTTCATGAGAAATTACCACTTGCGAGCCGTTGCCCTAGACTCCAGTTCCACTGGCTGCAAGCCCTGTGTCCTTCCTCGGGATTGAACAGAACCGAAACGAGCAGGCTATTGACTACAAATCTACTACTCATTCCAATTTGTCATTGATGTTATACATCTATGATTATTTCTGTATGTTTACCACTATAGTATACGTATACACATGTATGTGATTGTATGTGTATGTTTTATTTTTACACATTCAGTGGAGCATACAGAGCATACACATCTCTATATACATGTATTATACATATATACATATGACATAATTCATATTCATATCATATCATACGATACGTTGTGTGCTTGTACAAGGGGCAACACAAGTATACAAAGAAAGGATGCAAGGTTGAAAGGTATGTAGATGCAGATATAGTACGCACAACACACATATATACACACACACTTGTACTTTGCAGGTCCTCCCACCGTTGTGAAATGAGAAATGGTAAGATTATGTTATGTAAAGCTTGAGAAACATTTAAAAAACAGCAGAAAACGATACAGACGATAAGATTCTTACCGTCTGTATTTCTTTTTCTTTTGTATATGTGTATTTATGTGTAACAAAAAAAGCAAAACCGATACATAAATCCCATGTCATGTGCCAAAAAACCTTGGCTAAATCGGCCGCAAAGTCCCGTGTCATCTGCGCCTACTATAATTGATTTTTCAAAAATAATAGCATGCTACTTTTCTTTTGCATAACATTTAGTTGCATTGAGGCCGAGCCCCCCCGAAACAAACCAACCTGGAACGATGGTGCCTCGGTTGTACACGCGAAACCCGACTCGGCTGTACATGCGAGAAAACAACTCAGTTGTGCACGCGAATGCTGATGCTTATGATGCTTATGATGGCGTTGACGGTGGTGATGATGATGATGATGATGAGGATGAGGATGAGGATGAGGATGTGATGATGATGATGATGATGGTGATGATGGTGATGATGATGATGATGATGGTGATGATGATGATGATGTTGATGTTGATGTTGGTGATGGTGATGATGATGATGATGATGGTGGTGGTGGTGATGGTGGTGGTGGTGGTGATGGCAAGTCGAAGGAAGCGGAGTAGCGGTTGCCCCTATAATGAAGTTAAGCAACAGGTGCGGCTGGTAGATCCTACCCTTGTCTTCCCTAGCCCCACCCCACCCCCCAAGGTTGAAGTGTGATGGTAAGTCGAAGGAAGTGGAGTAGCGGTTGTGTCCCTATAATGAAGTTAAGCAACGGGTGTGGCTGGTAGATCCTACCCTTTTCTTCCCTAGCCCCACCCCACCCCCCAAGGTTGAAGTGTGATGGTAAGTCGAAAGAGGTGGAGTAGCGGTTGTGTCCCTATAATAAAGTTAACTAGTAGCGGTTGTATTCCTATAATGAAGTTAACTAGCCCCACCCCACTCCCCCAAGGCTGTGTGTATACAACTGAGTCAATTGTGTGTGTACAAGTGAGTCAGAATCCTGTGGGCGCAGCTGAGTCAATTTTGCGTGCGCAAGTGAGGCGCCTACCGCCTGGAACCCAACTTGGAACCTAAATGGGCACCCCTTGGACCTGGTAGGTAAAAAGTTTAGTGCTCAACCAACAGTTCCGGGAAGGCCATCCAGTTCCTGGAGTCATCAGCCATTCAGTTACCGGAGACATAGAAAATTCTCAATTGAGTTTCCACACTTTGTTGGGTGCCATGTTTAACTGGTTTTGCGATGGCTCCACCCAAGTTCAAAGCATGATACCGTGAGCGCAATACAAAGTGAAAAGTAGGGTCGCCCGAAAGTCACTAACATGGCATTTTCAATGAGAACGCCTTAAAAACCACTCGGGTTCCAGGTTAAACTTCAAAGCACCCTTCAAGGTTGCAGATCACTTTGTGATAACTTGTTCAAACTCCATGTTGGCTGTTTCAGGGTGCAGGCTGAGTTCAGTTTGGGCCTGCGGTGGGTTCCATGTCAGTTTTGGAGCGGTTGTATTAAAAAAGTTAGTTGCATGATTTCCCGGGGAACAGAGTCCACTTGAGACCGTCCCATAGGTTCATGTTAGGGGACCCCAGGAGAAGGGATGCAGTTCCATGTTAATTTTTTGGGAGTGTCGATATGGACATATACACATGTAGCCCAAATCGATGGATACCTTGAGACACACATGCACGCACAGAAACAGACACGCAACACGCACACACACACACTATGTATACATACTGCGCACGCACATTAAAGCACCAATATCATACATCCAGTGTAAGTGGGCGTCTCCCAAACGCACAGTTGACAGATACGAATGCAGCCAGACCTTGTGTGCCGAAAACCTTCGACCAACAACAACAACAACAACAACAACAAAACAACAACAAGAACAACAAGAACAACAAGAACAACAAGAACAACACGAACAACAAGAACAACAAGAACAAGAACAACAACAACAAATACAAATCCATTGCTTCCCCCCGTTTGCCTCCCATGCTCCAGCTGTTCTTCAGCTCTTATTCTGCAGGATGCTCAATCTCATGCCGCCATGCCTGAGCCAGCGTTTTCGAAGCGTCCTCCTGCACTTTCTGGTTACGCAAAGTCTAAAATAAGTGATAGATATACATTGCCTGTAGCGTCATAGAAAGATCCCACGAAAGTACATACACACGGATATTGTGTCGAAGACTGCATGACTCCATCGACTTGTTTGTTTGCCAGTCTATCAGTCTACCTATACACCCAGACCTTGAATCTTGTTGGCATTTTTCTTTACATCCCCTTGGAGTCCATTTGTGGCCATTTCTCCAGTCAGTGAGGCTCTTCAAGCCATTCTGCGGTGGCTTCGATGGTCTCATCGGTGGGCCCCCAGCCAGGCTGGGGCAAATTCCTGTCGATTCCGGCCAAGACAGGACAGTTCGGGAGGGAAAGTCCACCCTTTTCATCCCTTTTCTTTGGATTTAGCTGATTTGCTCAGTTTGCTCTAACACACTGTGATACCTACATTGGAGACAAGTCTTGGACAATGGTTTTGAAGGTTGACCATGGATTGTTTGCAAAGTGATGTATTGCCCACCCTGACTTTCTTGACTGTCAGGCAGAGCGCAAAGAGGAGTTTTCAGCCTACACGGCCTGGCAATTGGGGAGAAACCGCAAGGGAGGGCAGCACGTCAAACTATTTCATAATACGCTTCAGAAATTTACACAACGTGTCAAATTGACATGAATTGACACAGTTGAGAGGATATTTTGTGCGCGGGAAACCATTGCAGCAGCTTCAAAGTTACCGTGTTCCAGTCACAAAATCTTGCCACGGCGCAAACATCTCAAGTACATAGCGAAAACTGCAAAGCAAGTGGCTACTTGCAAGTAATTGTAGCTGGTCAAGCACAGAAGCACTTGCAGAGCAGCCAGTTTTTTTAGGCAGTCACATTAAATCATCCATTTCCACCTTGGTGCGTATGTAGATTTCCGACCAGCTTCCCCTTGCTTTTGCTGCCACTGTTGTCTGGGAGTGAAGAGAGCTTCTCAAATTGCATTGATTGTAGGCTGGCTACGAACGTACGCGCCGGGCACAACAGCTGCGAAGATTGCCCTCCCCAGTGCAGGCGATGTTTGCAGATGGGGTAGTTGGAGGGGTGGGATGGGACAGTCACAGTGACTGCAGTGACTGCAGTGGCTGCAGTGACCGCAGTGACAGCACGGCTGAGCATCTGTAGCCAGTGAAGGTGCGTTTCTTTGTTCGTCAGAGCTTGGCTTCGAAATTGTCTGCTCCGTGCCTTCCAGGCTTGTTCAATAGTGCACCCAGACGGGCCTTTGCAAAACTCTGAGCAGCTGTGAACCCAGAAGGTAAAATGGCATTGAATCAATGTGGCGATTTGAACAGTACCAAGTAAGTCAGGTATGCAAACCTCCGAGAACTCCTGTCCATAACTGTGAGCCTACAAAGAAACGGATGATCGTGGCTTGCTTTGACCCCACAGTTTGGCTGCAATGTCCCGCTTTGCTTGTCTTGAGGTTTCAACCTGCCGATCTTGAAGATGAGCGCCAACTCTTGGCAGATCTTTGGCCTGATTCTTGGATTTCCTCGACAGCGTTCTCTTTTGTCGCTCCTTTCGAATCGTCGATGTGTCGATTTGTGGCTTTGAATTTTCTTTGTCATTCGGCGACGCCTGTGGCCCCGATGCCCCGTCTGCCAGGACTTGCCTCCGGCGGGGTGAGCTCAGCAAGGGCTTGAAGCTCTGTGCCGAGAGCGGCCAGGCGCTGTGCAGACCATGCAGATCATGCAGAATATGCAAAGGGGTTTGGTCTTTTTTGTTGTATATATTATGCTATACTATATTATGTATACATGTTACATATGTATATATATATATACACGTGTATATATATATACACGTATATATATATATTATATATATATACATACATATATATATATACATACATGTACAAATACACATTTTACATGTTGCATTTCTATCGTGTTCTTCAGCAAATTGACAAACAAGTGCCCTGACTCCTGACTGTCACTTAGCTACAGCAGGTCATGTTGTGGCGCATTCAGAAATGCATTCAATGTTTCCCAGTTTCCCGAGCTGTATCCAAACATAGTGACTACAGTATCTTGCTGTGTCCTGCAGTCTTGAAGGCTTGGCGAACGGCTCTTTTGCAAGGCATGATGCCCTTCGCCAAGGACTCCTGCTGCACGCATCTCCACGCATTTCAAAGAAACAGAAGGGAGCCAATATGAGCCAAGAATCAAACAGAAGAAGAATGAGCGACATTCAGTGAGGGGCAGACACCAGGGAAGAGAAGGCAGAGAAAAAGGCAGGTGGCTTTCAGGTAGCTTTCCCGTGGCTTTCCGCCGCGCACAGGCTGACAATGTGAGCTATGACATCGCAGAAGCAGCAGGTCCAGATGAGGAGACTGAGGCAGGGTTGAGGTGCTGTAAGAGAGGCGCACAGTAAGAGAGGCACAGCGAGAGACAGGTTGAGACATCGGCCTATAGGCTAAAAATCCTCTTCTGAAAGTTTCGACAGAGTTGTGGTCATCCTTATTCATGTACCCAATTGTGATTTCGTCTTTTTTCTTTCTCCGCATCTCTTCCATGTCGTTCAAGACATTTCAAGACTATCCTGCGGGAAACAGCTCGTTTGCGTAGGAAATGCTTGGTCTGATGAAAGAAGAGCATACAGCCGCTGCCTCAGAGTGAAATCTTTCCTCAGAAGCAGCTTTTGCGGAATTGCACGCTGCGTTGTCTGTCAAACTCCCAGCAGTCACAGCAGGTCCCAGCATCTCCCAGTTTTTTATTGGTCGCTTGTAGCCGTCAGGACTGGACCGAGTTTGGCCAACCAAAGCACTACAGCCATGGCAATCCCTGGCGAAAGCTTTGGAAGGACTTTCATAGACTCGATCAAATGTGCAAAGATGCGCAGCGCAATCGCAAAGCAACAGTGATGAAAACAGATTTCACAGTGCAATCATAGAATCTTCTCTCATGAATTATTCTTTTTGTCCATATGGGGACAGCGGAATCACGCACTTCTCTTGAACTCAAACACAAGATGAAGAGCTCCAAAGAGGGTGACAATTGCATGAGCCTACGTATCCCAATACGCTATATATCAAAATGCGATGGCAAGGGCAGAGATCAGTCGCCTTGCAAGAGCAGCCCAATTGCATCTGGCATCCCGGCCATGGAGACGTCGAAAGTTTTGCAGGAGCAATGCTTCGATTCGGCTGTGCGGAATCTCCAATCAGGGAGTACGATGGAGCGCTGCACAAAGAGTTGGAAGGGTCTGGGCCGGAAGATGTTGAAGTGAGATCATATAATTCATATAACAATCTGTAACAATACAATATCAATACACACATATATGTATACATAACATATCAATTTAATATGTAATGTGATGTGATAACTTGAAATTTATGGATCCAATGAATCCAATGCCAAATCGTGCCCATGCCCATGCAGAACCATGCCGATAATACTACAGGAGAACACCTCCACGTTAGGGGCTAGGCAAAGACTCAACATGATTCCAGAATATTACCATCAATTGCTGCACTATGCTGCACTTGAACCTCTGAACTGAATGCAATGATGTGAATGCCCTGTGGAGGCTTCAACACATGCTGTCATTTTGATTTGACCCAGTCTCCTCTGAAAAAACTGTTCGACTTTGAGTCAGTCTCGTGCAATCTCCTCTTTTTCTAAGACCATTTTTTTTCATTGAATTCTCACTCGGACCTCACTTGTTTTGTGCATATTTGTGGCATGTATACATATATATATATACATATATATATATATATACGCATATTATAGAGCTTCGCACACCGGCGATGCCATAAGGGTTAATTATGTATAGTAGTGTGAGCGTTGGTGTTGTTCATGTGCTCGGCGCGTGCGCGCAGGTGCAGAGCACAGTATGATGTGCTTTTCATACCGCAGCTTGTAACACATCTTTTTGTCGCATTTTTGTGCTGCTGCTTGTTCTTGTTGTTCTTGTTGTTCTTGTTGTTCTTGTTGTTGTTGTTGTTGTTGTTGTTGTTCTTGTTCTTGTTCTTGCAACACATCTTATTGTCGTATTTTCGTGGGCCCTAAAAATCGTCACATAGGTGGTGTTTTTGACACTCTCGGAGCAAAACAACACCGTAAATACCGATGTTTTTTGCGCCTCGGAAGCCCAAAGCCACGGTATTTACGATATTTTTTGCCTCTGGTAGCAAAAACCACGGTATTTACAGTGGTTTTTCTGTCCGTGCCTAGCAAAAACAATGGTATTTACGCGGTTTTCACCATGTTGCCAGATGTAGTTTCTACATGCGAAAAAGACAAAAACACGGTGTTTTACGATGTTTTTGCCTCCCGAGCGTAGCAAAAAAAAAAGTCAACACATGGCTCAGAAACGGCCTACAATCGACTTCCAAACGCATCCTATAATTCCCGAGAGCGTTTGAGCGAAGGTTCTTCTAATAGTGGGGGTCTGTCAAACATTTTCACATTTTCACATTTTCACATTTTCACATCTTCACATCCTCAGATCTTCACATCCTCACATCCTCACATCTTCACATCCTCACATCTTCTCATCCTCTCGTCTTCTCATTTTCTCATCTTCTCATCTTCACATCACATCTTCACATCTTCTCATCTTCACATCTTCACATCCTCACATCTTCACATCTTCACATCTTCACATCTTCACATCTTCACATCTTCACATCTTCACATCTTCACATCTTCACATCCTCACATCCTCACATCTTCACATCTTCACATTTTCTCATCCTCTCATCTTCTCATTTTATCATCTTCTCATCTTCACATCACATCTTCACATCTTCTCATCTTCACATCTTCACATCCTGCCATCTTCACATCTTCACATCTTCACATCTTCACATTCTCTCTTGCCCTCTTGCTCTCTTGCCCTCTTCTTTTTCCTTCTTTCTATTTCTCTCTTGAGGCGCGGGGCAGCGCCAACGAGACGGCACGAACCAACGCAACCCTTTCGCACGAAACGAGGTTCGATCGCCAAAAGCTGAGGACAAATTGCGATTTTACAACCTCGGCGGCCACCCTTTTGCACGAAACGAGCTTCGATCACCAAAAACTGAGGTAAAAGTGTCTGTGTGTAAAAGCTTCTGTGTGTAAAAGCGTCTGTGTGTAAAAGCGTCTGTGTATAAAAGCGTCTGTGTGTAAAAGCGTCTGTGTGTAAAAGCTTCTGTATGTACAAGGTTCTGTGTGTAAAAGCTTCTTTGTGTAAAAGGTTCTGTGTGTAAAAGCTTCTGTGTGTAAAAGCGTCTGTGTGTAAAAGCGTCTGTGTATAAAAGCGTCTGTGTGTAAAAGCGTCTGTGTGTAAAAGCTTCTGTATGTACAAGGTTCTGTGTGTAAAAGCTTCTTTGTGTAAAAGGTTCTGTGTGTAAAAGCTTCTGTGTGTAAAAGCGTCTGTGTGTAAAAGCGTCTGTGTATAAAAGCGTCTGTGTGTAAAAGCGTCTGTGTGTAAAAGCTTCTGTATGTACAAGGTTCTGTGTGTAAAAGCTTCTTTGTGTAAAAGGTTCTGTGTGTAAAAGCTTCTGTGTGTAAAAGCGTCTGTGTGTAAAAGCGTCTGTGTATAAAAGCGTCTGTGTGTAAAAGCGTCTGTGTGTAAAAGCTTCTGTATGTACAAGGTTCTGTGTGTAAAAGCTTCTTTGTGTAAAAGGTTCTGTGTGTAAAAGCTTCTGTGTGTAAAAGCGTCTGTGTGTAAAAGCGTCTGTGTATAAAAGCGTCTGTGTGTAAAAGCGTCTGTGTGTAAAAGCATCTGTGTGTAAAAGCTTCTGTGTGTAAAAGCTTCTTTGTGTAAAAGCTTCCGTGTGTAAAAGCTTCTGTGTGTACAAGGGTCTGTGTGTAAAAGTATCTGTGTGTAAAAAAGGTTGTGTGTGTAAAAACATCTGTGTGTAAAAGCATCTGTGGTAAAGGCTTCTGTGTGTACAAGCAACTGTGTGTAAAAGTGTCTGCGTGTAAAGGTGTCTGTGTGTAAAAGATTCTGTGTGTCAAAGCGTCTGTGTGTAAGAGCGTCTGTATATAAAAGCATCTGTGTGTAAAAGCGTCTGTGTGTAAAAGCTTCTGTGTGTAAAAGCTTCCGTGTGTAAAAGCTTCTGTGTGTACAAGGGTCTGTGTGTAAAAGTCTCCGTGCGTAAAAAGTGTTTGTGTGTAAAAGCGTTTGTGTGTAAAAGCGTTTGTGTGTAAGAGCTTCTGTATGTAAAAGTCTGTCCGTGTGTAAAAGTTTCTGTGTTGAGTAAGCTTCTGTGTGTAAAAGCTTCCGTGTGCAAAAGCTTCTCTGTGTACAAGGGTCTGTGTGTAAAAGTCTCTGTGTGTAAAAAGTGTTTGTGTGTAGAAGCTTCTGTGTGTAAAAGCTTCTGTGTGTAAAAGCTTCTGTGTGTAAAAGTCTCTGTGTGTACAAGGGCCTGTGTGTAAAAGTGTATGTGTGTAAAAGCGTCCGTGTGTAAAAGTTTCTGTGTTGAGTAAGCTTCTGTGTGTAAAAGCTTCCGTGTGCAAAAGCTTCTCTGTGTACAAGGGTCTATGTGTAAAAGTCTCTGTGTGTAAAAAGTGTTTGTGTGTAGAAGCTTCTGTGTGTAAAAGCTTCTGTGTGTAAAAGCGTCTGTGTGTACAAGGTTCTGAATGTATAAGCTTCTTTGTGTAAAAGTGTTTCTGTGTAAAAGCTTTTACGTGTAAAAGCGTCTGTGTGTAAAAGTGTCTGCGTGTAAAAAAGCTTTTACGTGTAAAAGCGTCTGTGTGTAAAAGTGTCTGCGTGTAAAAGCTTTTGTGTGTAAAAGCTTCTGTGTCTAAAAGCTTCTATGTGTAAAAGCTTCTGTATGTACAAGGTTCTGTGTCTAAGAGTGTCTGTGTGTAAAAGCTTCTGTGTGTAAAAGCGTCTGTGTGTAAAAGTGTCTGTGTGTAAAAGGTTTGTGTGTAAAAGCTTCTGTGCGTAAAAGCTTCTGTGTGTAAAAGTCGCTGTGTGTAAATGTGTCTGTGTGTAAAAGGTTCTCTGTGTGAAAAACTGTACGAAGGATACGATGCAAACTATTGTCTTGCACTTGTAATAGGTTGTCTTGATACTACTCTTCTCGTCTGCCTATAATACATCTTTAATATATTGTCTTGTAATATAGTGTCTTAATACTAACAACCGAAGACCCTGCTCCTCTGCCCTCGGGCCATCCATCGTCTAGTTTTAGCATTTTTTCCCGGCCCCAGATCCCCAAAAACCCGAAAACAAAACCAGAGTGAAGGATTTTGGGGGTGCCGGCGGCAGGCCCGCGCCCGGTAGCTAAAGCTATGGCTGCAAGATGCCGTATAAAAAGGGCTAACGCCTGGGTGCCGCCGAGGGAGTTTTAGACTTTGTTCTATTGCATGCAGCCGTCGGGTTCAATGGAATCCGACAATCGCTGATGCTGAGTGAGCAGCTTCAATGCCGCCATCAGTGTACATGACCGGGCAGCAAGGCTGGAGAGGGGCAAGGAGGCCCTAGCAAAACCTAGCTGCCCTCGTAGAACCTAGCAGCTTGGAAGGCTTGGGGCAAGGAGGCCCTAGTAGAACCATAGGAGCGGCGAAGGCCGAGGAAAGTGGGGCAAGGGTTGGCCCTAGTAGGACCATTGGCCCTAGCAGAAGCAAAACTGTAAATACATACATGATCGGGCAGCTTGGAAGGCTGGAGAAGGTGAGGCAGGGAGGCCGTATAGTAGAACTTAACAGCTTGGACGGGCAGCTTGGAAGGCTGGAGACAGTGAGGCAAGGAGGCCGTAGTAGAACCAAGCAGCTTGGAAAGTTTAAAGGTGGCCCTGGAAAAAAAAAGTCAACCGGCAGTTTTGAACCCCTTAATAAATGCATGACCGGGCAGCTTGGCAGGCTGGAGAAGGTGAGGCAAGGAGGCCCTAGTAGAACCTAGCAGCTTGCAACGCTTAAGAAGGTCGGGGAAGGGTTGGCCCCAGGTGCGGCAAGGGTTGGCCCCAGTACCAGAACTGCCAAGCGGCAGTTTCGAAAGCCTTAATAGATACATGACCGGGCAGCTTGGAAGGCCGGAGAAGGTGCACCCTAGCAGCTTGGAAGGCTTCAGATGGGGCAAGGGTTGGCGCTGTAGAACCAAAACTGCCAAACGGCAGTTTCGAAACCCCTACAAGATACATGACCAGGCAGCTTGGAAGGTTGGAAAAGGTGGGCAAGGAGGCGCTTGTCAAACCTAGCAGCTTGGAAGGCTTAAGAAGTTGGGGAGGGGTTGGCCCCAGCAGAACCAGAACCGGCAGTTCGAGACCCAGGAAAGATTTATCGGAAGGCTGGAGAAGGTGAAGCAAGGAAACCCTAGTGGAACCTAGCGGCTTGGAAGGCTTCACAAGCTGGGGCCCTAGTAGGGCCAAAACTGCCAAACGGTAAGGAGGCCCTAGTAGAACCTAGCAGCTTGGAACGCTGCCAGGCTTGGACCTAAGTAGAGCCAAAACTGCCAAACGGCAGTTTCGAACCCATGAATAGATACATGACCAGGCAGCTTGGAAGCTGGAGAAGGTGAGGCAAGCAGGCCCTAGTAGAACCTAGCAGCTTGGAAGGCTTGAAGTGTTGGGTCTAGTAGAACCTAGCAGCTTGGAACGCTTGAGAAGGTGGGGCAAGGGTTGGCCCTAGTACAAGGCTTGAGAAGGTGGGGCAAGGGTGCATGACCGGCACCTTACAAGGCTGGAAAAGGTGAGGCAAGGAGGTGCTGGTGGAACCCAGCAGCTTGGAAAGCTTAAGGAGGTCGGGCAAGGGTTGGCCCGAAATGGGCAAGGTAGAAGAAACTCCTGAACGGCAGTTTCGAAACCCGTAATAGATACATGACCGGCAGCTCGGTGACGCAAGGAGGCCATAGTAGAACCTAGCAGGTTGGAAGGCCTGAGAAGGGGCAAGGGTGGGCCCTGTAGACAAGAACCTAGCAGCTTGGAAGGGGGCAAGGGTTGGCCTTAGTAGAAAACAAAAACTGCCAAACGGCAGTTTCGAAACCCTTAAGACATGACCGGACAGCTGGGAAGGCTGGAGAAGGCGGTGCAAAAAGGCCTCAGTAGAACCTAGCAGCTTGGAAGGCGCAAGGGGGCCCAGTGGAACTTACGAGCTTGGAAGGCCGAAAAGAAACAAAGTAAATGGCAAAGCGCACGTGCAATGCCGCATACCTGCAGTGATCCCAGGCGCCGCCCCACCTAGGCCAAAACTGGGCGGATATAAATGTATAGGAAAAAGGGATAATAAGGTAAAGCGTACATAGATAAATAGATAGAATGACAGTCAAAATAACTAGATAAGACAACAAGAGACATAAAGATAAATTTAAATACAAATAGAAATATATATGCACATTTAGCTGCTATTTATTTATTTATTTGTTTATTTATTTATTTATTTGTTTATTTATTTATTGACTTATTGATTAAATTTACTTATTTATATATGTATTTTTTATTTATATAGATTTATGTATTTATTTATTTATATTTATGTATTTATTTATTTATGTATGTATTTATTTATTTACTTATTTATATATGTATTTTTTTTAAATATATATATATATATTTATTTATTTGTCTGTTTATTTATTTATTCATTTATTTACTATGTATTTATGTATTTATGTATTTATTGAAATACATATTTATGTCTTTAACTAATTATTTATTTGCATATGCAACATTCAGAAAATCATTTTTTTAATGCACATTCTATTCTATGCACATTTGCTGCATATTTGCGTATCTGTTTCAGTGGTTCTCAAATTTGATTCACTAGAGGACCTTTGCGAACTCTCCATCTACGGCTTCTGCGTGAAGTGCTTGGAGTGCTGCACCGCTACAGCCAAAACGTGCTACCACCAAAGGTCCAAACCCATCAATGCATCGCAAATTAAGAGAAAGGCAAGGCAGTGGGATTCCATTCCCTGGCTTGTACAACCACAGCGCACTCTTGCCAGAATTTGACACTCCCAAAGTTGTAGGAGAGATCTGTTATTTCCTGGGACCCAAGTCTTTTGCAGTGTCCGCTCAGTCTGGCAACTATGATGCCCTGATGCCGTACTGCGGCACTTTCTGGGTTTGGGCCTTGAAGTTTTCATCCTTCCAAGATGAATCTGGCAGGTCTGGATTGAGGTGTTTCATGGTGTGATGCATATGACAGAGATCAGCGCGGGCAGGCAATCTGGTAAGCATTCATGTTATTTTTTGGTCATAGTGCTTTTTGGATTCGGCTCTTTTTTGTCTCGCACAAATGATTGTACTGGCTCAAACTGTTGGAAGCTTCGTGGGAGCTCTTGATCGCTCCATTCGAACCCCAACTCACCTGCAGTTGCCAGTTGCTTGAAGGACGTCGGCCTGGCCAGAAGTCCAGTTTTTTTTGTTTCGTTGAATTATTGAATGTGTGTCATTGAACCAATTGAACTTCAACTTGGCCATTGAACAGGTAGACGTAGGGAAAGATGGTATGACAATTGGTTGTCGGTTAGTGTTGTGTTTCTATGCGCAGCCTATACCATCATTGGTGTCAGTGTCATGTATCAATACAGAAATCCGTGGCCCTTTCTTTGCCTGATCAAGTGTAATGCGCGTAAGTCCATAATAGCCCTCCCATATTTTTCCGACAAAACACGTGCCGTAAACCAACGTTTTTTTTCTCCATGTCTTCCCTTTTAAAGTCAATTTACAGTTTTAAACACGATATGGAGAAACAGAATGACCAGATCAATTCCATCAGATCATTGCTGCGTGTACACTTGATAAATTATTTAGCAGCTGGAGTTTTGTACAGGTTTTGGTGTTTGTTCGTGAAAGGAGATTCTAGGTTGAGATAGCAAACAATTTTCTCTGCCTTTCACAACCAACTAAAACAAAAGACGGCAAGGTCAATGGTGGCACTTTATTGTGTCCTGTACCCTTCCTGATATAATTTGATTTAGTAGCGTTGTGTGTGGTCCTCCAAAGATACAATCAGCAAAGCAGTGTGACTGCAGTTCACTCTTGGCTTCAGCTTTTTGGAATATATACAGACAGTTCAAGAAACTTGATGGCCAAAACTAAACAGAATACAATTGACCAAACCAAACGTAACATCAATTAGCTCCAGGCCAGGGTTGAGGCACCAGGCAAAGTGGCAATACTAAAAGTGTTAAGTTAAGGGCTAAGGGCCTTATTAAACTTTGTATTGGCAAATTTGGTTCAGTTGGAACAATCATTTGATTTGCCTGTGCTTTGCTATTGTAACGTGCTGTACTTGCAATTGCATGGAGGTGGCTGTAATTTGAACTTTGTTCTGGCTTCAGATGTTGCTGCCGCCGCTTTCTGCGCAATGTTCTGTTGTGTGCCATGTCGCGGCTACCTATGTCATCCTTTGTCACACAACTATTGAACTGGGGCTTGAACTCGCTTCGCAGTCCTACAGCGGAGTCATGGTGAGTCATGCTGAGTCATGCTGAGTCATGCTGCATTGAAGGGGTGTGGAAATTCTGTGGAAACGAGCGCCGAGCTCTGCTTTTTCATCGGTCCACACGGTTTCCTCCCCAAGGCAGATCGCTGCTGGGGTGAACTGCACTGCATCAAGGACAGTCTGAGTCTGCTCGAGTCTGCGACAGGGCAATAGTGGCCGATTTGGAAGTGATGTAATGGATATGTTTTGGATATGTATAGATTATGTATATCTAACTATGCGCTGAGCGTTCTAAATTTCCTGGCAAGATATACATTCAGTATACTATATCGTTCTATATCGGATAGAAAAGAATGTTGGACAAGTTCTTGGTGATGTTGCGTTTGAGGGCGTAAATGCGCCGTGCAGGCGATGATGGGAGACCTGGATCCAGTAAGATAATGTTTGTAGCTGTTTATACATCATTATCATCATTTCGTTTTTGTTCAGAGTATTTGTGTCAGGGATCGAACATATGTCGAGGCCAAGTCAACAGGAGACTTGTACCTCACAGCAACACGAGACCAAGGGTGTTGTGTGAAAGTGAAACAAACTTTGTAACATCATGGACATCGATCAAAAACTTCCAGATCTACATAAGTCTCGCACATGGGAACTTTGCCAACTCGACTAGGAATGGCTAGTTGAGCGGCTGCTTGAGGATGGGCATGCTTGGTGCCAATCCCTCAGTTCCCCCAATGGATTTGATGGGTTTTGGCAGTGCCTTTGAACATTGAAGGGTTGTTGCAGCTGTTCTACTTCTGTTTGTTGGATTGCTTTGCTGTTGAAAGTTCAGCCACAAATTTATATTCCCAAAAGGATCGCACGTCCGTATTGGACAACTTTACATTGTATCTCCAGTATGCCCAGAAGCAGGTCCCCAACATCTACTTTTCAGAGGGCAACTGACGTTGTGCGAACAAAAGGAAGTGTTTGGCTTTCGCCACGGGCGTTTGGATCTAGTGCGAATTGAGGTGGGGAGGCATCCCTTTGCGAAATTGATGAGGCCTCTTGCAGTGGAAGCCGAGGAACTGCAAACAAATAAAGTCACGCCGATTCATTCAGGTCGAACACGTTCATTAACGGTTGATTCATGTTCATAGGAGTTTATCGGCTATTTTGGATAGAACATGATAGAACTGCAACGTAGGATTGGACATGCAGCTACTTCCGCGTTCTTTGGTGACTAGCCAGGAGATTCCCTGCAACATAGAATACATGAAATGTCCCGCAGTCCTCCAGGGTATAATGCAGTGATTACAAAATTGATGGAGAAAGGTGGCGTTGACGTCGATTCCTCTCAGTGGATTGTGTCAAGGATCCGGATGAGCGGGACATTCGCAGTAGAAAACTATGTGGGCGGCTTGATGCCAGTGTCTAGGCAGAAAGTCAATGTTTTGTACTGAATGCGTGGCGCGAAGGTTTTTTTTTCTATGTAGGGCCTGGTGTTTGACTCCACTGCCAGTGTTGTTGTTTTCTTGTTGTATTTCGTGCGTTCCGCTCTAGAATCAGCTTGTGGGTTGAATGAGATTCCTCTAGGATCAAAGCTTGCTGTTGAGAGGAACTAGCCTACAATGGTTGATTATGGCTGTTTGATATGAACATGATTAATGCCTCGTTCTGTTTATCATGCTCACACTGCATTATGTTATTTGTGGGTCGCTGCGTGAATGTGCTGCTGTGAATGTGCTGAGGGCTGAGTCCTGATCTTGGTCGCGCAGTTGCAGAAGAGGCACCAAACTCAACTCAGTGACAAGTGCAACAAGTGCAGAAGCCATCTCAAGTTTGAAGACAGTCTGTGCTCAGTACATCTCAGTACACAGATCACTCCTACAGCGTGTCATCTGATGCCTTTGTCTCCTTTGACTTACTTCATAAATATGGATCGTTACGTGCTTAACCAGAGAGAAAGTTGCACGGCGGAGAAAGGTAGCATCCAAGATTGTGCCTGTTGGCGCCCAGGTTCAACAGGCACTGTCTCGTGTGTTTCCTCGAACCTCCGGCGACGCATACTGGGAGGCACGACACAGCCACAGAGCGATGCATCGCATTTGTCAAATTTAAGGATTGTCTCTTTGTCTCTTTTTCCCTTTGTCTCTTTGTCTCGTTGTCTCTTCGTGTCTTTGTCTCTTTGTATCTTTTTCTCTTAGTCTCTTTTTCCCTTTGTCTCTTTGTCTCTTTGTATCTTTTTCTCTTTGTCTCTTTTTCCCTTTGTCTCTTTGTCTCGTTGTCTCTTCGTGTCTTTGTCTCTTTGTATCTTTTTCTCTTTGTCTCTTTTTCCCTTTGTCTCTTTGTCTCGTTGTCTCTTCGTGTCTTTGTCTCTTTGTATCTTTTTCTCTTTGTCTCTTTTTTCCCTTTGTCTCTTTGTCTCGTTGTCTCTTCGTGTCTTTGTCTCTTTGTATCTTTTTCTCTTTGCCTCTTTTTCCCTTTGTCTCTTTGTCTCGTTGTCTCTTCGTGTCTTTGTCTCTTTGTATCTTTTTCTCTTTGCCTCTTTTTCCCTTTGTCTCTTTGTCTCGTTGTCTCTTCGTGTCTTTGTCTCTTTGTATCTTTTTCTCTTTGTCTCTTTTTCCCTTTGTCTCTTTGTCTCTTTGTCACTTTGTCTCTTTGTCTCTTTGTCTCTTTGTCTCTTTGTCTCGTTCTCTCTTCGTCTCTTCGTCTCTTTGTCTCGTTGTCTCTTTGTCCCATTGTCTCTTTGTCCCGTTGTCTCTTTTTCTCTTTGTCTCGTTGTCTCTTCGTCTCTTTGTCTCTTTGTCTCTTTGTATCTTTTTCTCTTTGTCTCTTTGTCTCTTTGTCTCGTCGTCTCTTCGTCTCTTTGTCTCTTTGTGTCGTTTCTCTTTGTCTCGTTGTCTCTTTGTCTCTTTGTCTCTTTGTCTCGTTGTCTCTTTGTCTCTTTGTCTGCTTGTCTCGTTGTCTCGTTGTCTCTTTGTCTCGTTGTGTCTTTGTCTCTTTGTATCTTTTTCTCTTTGTCTCTTTTTCCCTTTGTCTCTTTGTCTCCGTTGTCTCTTCGTGTCTTTGTCTCTCTCTTTGTATCTTTTTCTCTTTGGTCTCTTTTTCCCTTTGTCTCTTTGTCTCGTTGTCTCTTCGTGTCTTTGTCTCTTTGTATCTTTTTCTCTTTGTCTCTTTTTCCCTTTGTCTCTTTGTCTCGTTGTCTCTTCGTGTCTTTGTCTCTTTGTATCTTTTTCTCTTTGTCTCTTTTTTCCCTTTGTCTCTTTGTCTCGGTTTCGCTTCTCTCTTGTGTCTTTGTCTCTTTTTCCCTTTGTCCTTTGGCGCGTTGTCTATTCGTGTCTTTTGTCTCTTTTGTATCTTTTTTCTCTTTGTCTCTTTTTCCTTTCCCTTTGTCTCTTTGTCTCGTTGTCTCTTCGTGTCTTTGTCTCTTTGTATCTTTTTCTCTCTTTGTCTCTTTTTCCCTTTGTCTCTTTGTCTCGTTGTCTCTTCGTGTCTTTGTCTCTTTGTATCTTTGTCTCTTTGTCTCTTTTTCCCTTTGTCTCTTTGTCTCGTTGTCTCTTCGTGTCTTTGTCTCTTCGTTTCTTTTTCTCTTTGTCTCTTTTTCCCTTTGTCTCTTTGTCTCGTTGTCTCTTCGTGTCTTTGTCTCTTTGTATCTTTTTCTCTTTGTCTCTTTTTCCCTTTGTCTCTTTGTCTCGTTGTCTCTTCGTGTCTTTGTCTCTTTGTATCTTTTTCTCTTTGTCTCTTTTTCCCTTTGTCTCTTTGTCTCGTTGTCTCTTCGTGTCTTTGTCCCTTTGTATCTTTTTCTCTTTGTCTCTTTTTCCCTTTGTCTCTTTGTCTCGTTGTCTCTTCGTGTCTTTGTCTCTTTGTCTCGTTGTCTCTTCGTGTCTTTGTCTCTTTGTATCTTTGTTTCTTTTTATCTTTTTCTCTTTGTCTGGTTGTCTCTTCGTCTCTTTGTATCTTTTTCTCTTTGTCTCTTTGTCTCTTTGTCTCGTCGTCTCTTTGTCTCTTTATCTCTTTGCCTCTCTTTGCCTCTCTTTGCCTCTATGTCTCTTCGTCTCTTCGTCTCGTTGTCTCTTTGTCCCGTTGTCTCTTTGTCCCGTTGTTTCTTTTTATCTTTTTCTCTTTGTCTGGTTGTCTCTTCGTCTCTTTGTATCTTTTTCTCTTTGTCTCTTTGTCTCGTTGTCTCTTCGTCTCTTTGTCTCTTTATCTCTTTACCTCTCTTTGCCTCTCTGTCTCTTTGTCTTGTTCTCTCTTTGTCTCGTTCTCTCTTTGTCCCGTTGTCTCTTTGTATCGTTGTCTCTTTGTCCCGTTGTCTCTTTGTGTATTTTTCCCTTTGTGTCTTTGTCTCGTTGTCTCTTCGTGTCTTTGTCTCTTTGTCTCTTTTGTCTTGTTGTCTCTTCGTGTCTTTGTCTCTTTGTCTCTTTGTCTTGTTGTCTCTTCGTGTCTTTGTCTCTTTGTATCTTTTTCTCTTTGTCTCTTTGTCTCTTTGTCTCTTTGTCTGGTTGTCTCTTCGTCTCTTTGTATCTTTTTCTCTTTGTCTGGTTGTCTCTTTGTCCCGTTGTCTCTTTGTCTCTTTGTCTCTGTGTCTCTTTGTCCCGTTGTCTCTTTGTCTCTTCGTCTCTTTGTCTCGTTGTCTCTTTGTCCCGTTGTCTCTTTGTCCCGTTGTTTCTTTTTATCTTTTTCTCTTTGTCTGGTTGTCTCTTCGTCTCTTTGTATCTTTTTCTCTTTGTCTCTTTGTCTCTTTTTTTCTTTGTCTCTTTGTCTCTTTGTCTCTTTGTCTGGTCGTCTCTTTGTCTCTTTATCTCTTTGCCTCTCTTTGCCTCTCTTTGCCTCTATGTCTCTTTGTCTCGTTGTCTCTTCGTCTCTTTGTCTCTTTGTGTCGTTGTCTCTTTGTCCCGTTGTCTCTTTGTCTCTTTGTCTCGTTGTCTCTTCTTCTCTTTGTCCCGTTGTCTCATGGTCTCTTAGTCCCGTTGTCTCGTTCTCTCTTTGTCCCGTTGTCTCTTTGTCTGGTTGTCTCTTTGTCCCGTTGTCTCGTTGTCTCTTTGTCTCTTTGTCTCTTCGTCTCTTTGTCTCGTTGTTTCTTTGTCTCGTTGTCTCTTTGTGTCTTTGTCTCGTTGTCTCTTTGTCTCTCTGTCTCGTTGTCTCTTTGTCTCTTTGTCTCGTTGTCTCTTTGTGTCTTTGTCTCGTTGTCTCTTCGTCTCTTCGTCTCTTTGTCTCGTTGTCTCTTTGTCCCGTTGTCTCTTTGTCCCGTTGTTTCTTTTTATCTTTTTCTCTTTTTCCCGTTGTTTCTTGGTCTCGTTGTCTCTTTGTCTCGTTGTCTCTTCGTGTCTGTGTCTCTTTGTATCTTTTTCTCTTTTTCTCTTTGTCTCTTTGTCTCTTTGCCTCTTCGTCTCGTTGTCTCTTCGTCTCTTTGTCTTTTTGTATCTTTTTCTCTTTGTCTCTTTGTCTCTTTGTCTCTTTTTCCCTTTGTCTCTTTGTCTCTTTGTCCCGTTGTCTCTTTGTCCCGTTGTCTCTTTGTCTCTTTGTCTCTTTTTCCCTTTGTCTCTTTGTCTCGTTGTCTCTTCGTGTCTTTGTCTCTTTGTATCTTTTTCTCTTTGTCCCTTTTTCCCTTTGTCTCTTTGTCTCGTTGTCTCTTCGTGTCTTTGTCTCTTTGTATCTTCTTTTCTTTGTCTCTTTTTCCCTTTGTCTCTTTGTCTCGTTGTCTCTTCGTGTCTTTGTCTCTTTGTATCTTTTTCTCTTTGTCTCTTTGTCACTTTGTCTCTTTGTCTCTTTGTCTCTTTGTCTCTTTGTCTCGTTCTCTCTTCGTCTCTTCGTCTCTTTGTCTCGTTGTCTCTTTGTCCCATTGTCTCTTTGTCCCGTTGTCTCTTTTTCTCTTTGTCTCGTTGTCTCTTCGTCTCTTTGTCTCTTTGTCTCTTTGTATCTTTTTCTCTTTGTCTCTTTGTCTCTTTGTCTCGTCGTCTCTTCGTCTCTTTGTCTCTTTGTGTCGTTTCTCTTTGTCTCGTTGTCTCTTTGTCTCTTTGTCTCTTTGTCTCGATGTCTCTTTGTCTCTTTGTCTGCTTGTCTCGTTGTCTCGTTGTCTCTTTGTCTCTTTGTCTCTTTGTCTCTTTGTCCCGTTGTCTCTTTGTCTGTTTGTCTCTTCGTCTTTTTGTCTCTTTGTTTCGTTGTCTCTTTGTCTCTTTGTCCCGTTGTCTCTTTGTCTCTTTGTCTCTTTGTCTCGTTGTCTCTTCGTCTCTTCGTCTCTTTGTCTCGTTGTCTCTTTGTCCCGTTGTCTCTTTGTCCCGTTGTTTCTTTTTATCTTTTTCTCTTTGTCTGGTTGTCTCTTCGTCTCTTTATATCTTTTTCTCTTTGTCTCTTTGTCTCTTTGTCTCATTGTCTCGTCGTCTCTTTGTCTCTTTATCTTCTTTGCCTCTCTTTGCCTCTATGTCTCTTTGTCTCATTGTCTCTTCGTCTCTTTGTCTCTTTGTGTCGTTGTCTCTTTGTCCCGTTGTCTCTTTGTCTCTTTGTCTCGTTGTCTCTTCGTCTCTTTGTCTCTTTGTATCTTTGTCTCTTTGTCTCTTTGTCTCTTTGTCTCTTTGTCTCTCTGTCTCGTTGTCTCTTTGTCTCTTTGTCTCGTTGTCTCTTTGTCTCTTTGTCTCGTTGTCTCTTCGTCTCTTCGTCTCTTTGTCTCGTTGTCTCTTTGTCCCGTTGTCTCTTTGTCCCGTTGTTTCTTTTTATCTTTTTCTCTTTTTCCCGTTGTTTCTTGGTCTCGTTGTCTCTTTGTCTCGTTGTCTCTTCGTCTCTTTGTCTCCTCGCCCGTTGTCTCTTTGTCTTTTTTTCTCTTCTTTTTTTCTCTCCCTCTATCTCTTTATCTCTTCTTGCAGTGTGCAGTGATGGTGCAGCCCGTTGCAGGTGCCTGAAAGCGTTTCAGAGCAGTTTAGTTTGCTGCAGGCTTGACCTGTGTTCAGCTAGTTGAGATGGAAGGAACGCTGTCCTAGCACAGCAGCAAAGAGCCTAAGCATGGAACGAGATAGGAGATATAACAGGCATGTCCAAACCCACGTGATCAATAGATCCAAAGCTGATGTAAGAGTCGTAGCTGGCAAGAGTCTTGTGTCTGACTTACTGTTTTGGAGGCTTTATAACTCCGCCTAGGTCCAAAGATCTTGAATTGTCATCGACACAACAATGACGCCAGTCTGCCTTCGCATATCTTGACTTCCTGATCTTTTTTTGACTTTTCTTTTGTACTCCCGCTTTGCATAGCTGGACATAGCTGGCTCAAAAGCTGACGGTTGGGGTGCACAATCACTGCTTGTGAGCTCGGAACCCAGTCCTGATCGGATCTTATCTTCCGATCCGTTTATCGCAATGCACATATACTATATAAATGAGCGGACTGCAAAACAATCCTCTGGCCAAAATGCCTTGTCTGTGACTTGTCATTGACTTGTTGCAACTTGTTGCTGTCGATTTCCTCTTGTTGCAAGGCTTCGCCAACACCTCACCCATTTGTACAAAACCATGAGCTGACTGCTCCACGTGGTCCCATGTGTCTGTCAACCAACTGGAGGGTATCCAAAGCAACAAACGAAAAGACAGGTGACAGGAAGGCCTGAGGCCGGACTCTGAACAACACACACAAATGACCACCACAGGTGGTGCAGCTGATCTGGTAATACAAGACCATACAAGACGCTAGCCTGTGGAACTAAAATGAAAGCACCAACACATGCTTCTGCTGCAAGTAGTCCGCTGGAAGGAGGGAAACACTAAAGTTCGCACAGTCCACACATGTTCCCACCGCACACTAACTCTTTAGACCTAAGTTGCCCAGAGCCACAGGCAGAGCCATCCGGCAGAGCCACCCGGCAGAGCAGAGACTACACACGATGTCATGCGTGGAGAAACAATGAGAGAGTATCAGGAATTGAAGACTCAATTCAATAGCGTGAAGCTGGCCTGAAAATCCGCAAACTCGATTCTCCACTCCTAACTTTGAGGAGTCATCTCTAATATGAGAGTTCGGGAGGGTACTGTCCACGCTGCTCTCCTGCGGTCTTGCTTGGTTTGGTGGCGATCTTGTTTGGTTTGGTGGCGATCCCCGGTTGGAACTTCAATTGTCTTGGATCAAAGGACATCAAAGGTACACATGTTTTTTTTTTTTGCGTTTTGGCCGTCAGTTTGAGAAGTGAAACGCAGAGGGACGCCAGGAAACAGCAGCAGGATTGAGTAGAAACATGTTTGACACAATATCACCTCGCAACAGGATTGAATGATCGGGAGTGCTATTCGGGACTTGTGCTATAGCGGCCTGTTTGACACGCCTGCGAATTTTTCTGCCTAGGTCTGAGTCGATCTCACCGGTTTGCCGTGGAGCGGCGGTCGGTTGCTGAGACAGCACACAAGACTGTAGCAGAGATTAGATGCAATTCCAACAGTTTTACACTCAGGAAACACGAGGTATCGCGATGACTGACATGACAATGAGGCCGGTCAGGCTGAAACATTCCCGTCTGCACAAAATGCATTTCCGATGTAAGCGCCGCAAGCGCTGACTTGCACCAGTTGTAAACTTCAGCATATAAGTTCTTCGCAATACAAATCATTAGAATAAATTACACGGCTTTGAATTTGATTTTGATATGTTTTTGATCGTGAATTCGTAGGCTTTGTTCCTTGATCAGGGGCACCTTGAGCCTCAACAGCAACGACAGCTTGGACAGCGCAGTCTCGACGACCTCATCGCAACTCTCGACAAGCGGAAATCTCAGAAAGCTCAGCGCAGAAAGCTCAGGGCATTCAGAGCGCATTCGCAGAGCATCTGCCAAAATTTCAATCTTCAGAGACCCTTAGAATCCTTTAAAACTGTGGCAGGCTTTGCCCATGCACAGTCTCACGAAACGTATGGACATGTGATGTGCCCGAGTTTTATGAATCTCACATACTGATGAAGAGTGTGTCATTTGTATGACATGTACTCCACATTGGTATTTCAATTGAGTATTGCCTTGCATCTCTTCATATCATTCCATTCTGGTTCGGAAGCAGTGTCATTCAGATGAGTTTCATATATTTTCATACCAGAAAGTCAGAGAAAGTCATTTGATGTTATTGCATGACATTTGGCCATGTATGGCCATGTTCTTGACGTGCAAAATCTTCGCGCGCTTCGCAAGGCAAGGAGCCACGGCAGCTTCTTCTACTCCTGTCCAGCGACTTGGCCAGACAGAGGCCTCGACCTGCTGGCTCCGTGTCCGTGTTCAGCTCCGCGTCGGCGATGAAAAAGTGATCAAAATTTTAAAAGGGTCAAACGATTCATTCGGCTCTTCGAAGATCCGAATTCGAACCATTCGACTTCTCTCTTTTGAATTTGCCCATGTTATATACGTCGTCAGCATGTGACGACATGCACAGAAGTACCGTGTTTGACAGGGTTTCCCTTTTTTGATGTGTGTGATTTTGTTGCCAGCTTGACTACCCGAAGCGGTGCTTTGCTGCAATTGCTTCATATTTTCGAACAATTGCAAACTGTTGCTGCTGTTGTTGTCGTTGTTGTTGTTGTTGTTGTCGTTGTCGTTGTCGTTGTCGTTGTCGTTGTCGTTGTGGTTGTGGTTGTGGTTGTTGTTGTTGTTGTTGTCGTTGTCGTTGTCGTGGTTGTTGTTGTTGTTGTTGTTGTCGTTGTCGTTGTCGTTGTCGTTGTCGTCGTCGTCGTCGTCGTCGTTGTTGTTGTTGTGGTTGTGGTTGTCGTTGTTGTTGTTGTTGTCGTTGTCGTCGTCGACGTCGTCGTCGTCGTTGTTGTTGGGGGGCCTAGACCAACAACGGGTCCTTTGCAATAGCGTCTTGAATTTTGAAGAGTAAAAATCCCCCTTGCCATTTCCTCCACAGAATGGGAGGGGTTGGGGTGCCTATAGGGCACCATTCTGTGGAAAGTAGGGGCTGGAAATGGGGTCGAGCATACCATTTTGTAGTAATTTGTGGGTTTTACCTGGTTTTATCATTTTTGTTTTGAAGGCATGATCATTTATGGGCACCAAGACAAACCATTTTGTAACAAACAAAAAACCATTTTGTAGATGTTTTTAAGGGTATGATTTGGTGGTTTAAAAAAATGTGAATTAGTCATTGACAAAGAAAAATCAGCTAGCCATTCTGTAGAGAACCCATCGTTTCAATAAATGTACCACTTTGTAAGTGCATATTTGTGTTTGCAATGGTTGGCTCGGAAAAAGTTTCCATCTGCAGAAGGATTGCCGGCACATTGTTGGCAAAAAAATAGAAAATATGCTGCAAAAGTTGCATGAAAAAAATGGATCCGCCTCCGACAAGGATGAGTGAAGATGGACTAGAGGGTAAAAACCCTACAAAATGGCACTGGGAAAAAGGCAGTTGACGCTGAGGTCTTGCCAACATAGAGGCTCTACAAAATGGTTCTGGGATTTTTATATGTTTTATAAGATCACTGGTTTGATCATTTTTTGACAAAATTGTCAATATATTTGTGGATCAAAGCAGGTGACAGGCACTACCATTTTGTAGAGCCATGGGTTATAGACAGACCATTTTGTAGGATGGAGACTCTGTACCGGAGCCATTTTGTAGAGAAAGGGGTTGGTTCACTACAAAATGGGGCACCCCAACCCCACCCAGGGAATGGGAAGGAGGATGAGTAAAAGGCAATATACGGGGCTGTTGTCTTTTTGTTTTTCTTCCTGTTCTTGTTCTTGTTCTTGTTGTTGTTGTTGTTGTTGCTGCTGCTGCTGTTTTTTTCCATTTTCCAAACAGAGTTCATGTTTTCCCTTGCCAGACTCTGAGATAATACTCCAATCCACCCACTCCCAGTGTTGATTGCTGAGGCCGGAGAGTGGAGAATGCCTTGAGGCTGGGGGCATAGACTGACACGTCAATAACATGGTATATTTCATGGTATTTCACAGATTTTGAAAGGGTGCAGAACACACAACCTCCAGTAGGATTTGCATATGATTATTGAACAATATCGAATACTTCTTTCAAACCCAGGACCATAATCATGTTGTGGCAGAAGTTGTTTGGCGAGAAACCAATTCGATAATATGGTATTCGTGCTGTGACAATCTTGTGACAATGTTATGACAAGGTTGTGACAATGTTATGACAATGTTTTGATAAGGTTGTGACAATAGTATATAAAAATATCAATTCTGCATGTCATGTTCTGTGGTCACTCATCTCCTGCGCCCGAAGGTCCTACAGGTCTTGGGATAGCTCTGAGTTTTTTTTTCGAATCGTCCCCAAGTGATTTTGGTTTTGAATCAAGAAAGGCAAACCAGGCGAGAACCATGTCAAAAACATGTCAACCCTCGGTGTTTACCATTTTCTTGGAGATACCTGGCCTTGAAACGGACAGATGAAGGAAAACCATGCAGAACATTCCTGCAAGACAATCTTGCGGGATTGCGCTGCCCCAGCCCATAGGTATTCTATTTAGGAACCGTATTCTTCGGGTATTTGTTTGTGTTGGATTTATTTTGACATTTTGTTCGCACGCGGACAGTGGCAAGAAGTGATGTGTAGTGCCATTGGAGGGCTGGACTCGGGTGATTCGTGCTTGAATCGCAGACCCCAATGGATTTGTAATTGACGGGGTTTCGATGTGGCTTTGACGTGGCTTTGACCTTGTTTTGCAGGTCTGTTCGTGACAGCTTGCGGGTGAAGGCTAAGGAGAGCTTGTGAAACTTGATTTGGGAAATCCACATCGCTAGATTTGATCAATTGATTGGCAACACAGGATTTCAAAACAATTTGCATTTGACAAACTGGTATCCCATGTGGCTTCCCCCGAGGCCAATCACAGCGCTCCTCTCTATACCATTCTTGATGCTGCACTTTGTGAAAATTCCCGAATGTTTGGCCAGATGTGTATTTTGTTCCACAATTATTTCTGTACCTACCTTTCTTGTTCCCTTTCAGCTTCAGGTATTCACACTAGCCCAATAAATTTGCAGCAGGATCCCTTTGACTCAGTATATACGTTTTGGTGCTCAAAATAGACCCACTAGTGATTATATTATACACCTCAAGCTGCAGCCAGGACTCGTTGAACCTCGCCAGACTTTTGAAGATTCTTGCCGAAGTGCAACCTGGAAAAATTTGGCAAACCACACACAGTAGAAGGGTTTGACCGTTTTCAACTGTCTTGGACGCTGGGGATCGTTGAATAATTTCCTGAATAATTGCGAAGGTCTGTATAGCTTTGAAACCGAGTATCCGCGCTGTGCAGCTTTGTTCTGCTTTCAATTTTCCTCCGTTCATTTGCGCTGCTCTCACGACGTAGCAGCGACATTCAGAGCCTAGCTGCCAGGTCGGCGCAAAGCTGCGTAGCTGCCAGTTCTTTCGTTTTTGTCGTGCGGTCCTGCTTTGTAGCTGTAACTCTAGCTCTTCAGCGAACAGAGGTCCTTTTCGATTTCTCTCCTGTATTGTTTTGCATGCAGGCACGCATTGTGGAAACTCCGCGAAGCTTGGGGTTCCAAGCCTGATGAATCATGGGGCGTTTTCTTGCAGCACTTGTCGGAGATCCTGGCACCGCGTTTGACATGTCGTTCAGTGGCCTTGATCCAAGTGGAGGAGAACCTTTGGGACATGGATGGTGGATTTGGAATGACATGGAATGACTTGGGATGACTTGGGATGACCTGGGACGACTTGGGATGACATGGGACGACTTGGGATGACTTGGGACGACTTGGGATGACTTGGGCTGGAGACTCGAAATTGCGGGTGTCAATGTGCAATGTCCGTTTCGAAACAGTTTCTGTCTTCATGGGAAGGCTTGAAATGAAGACTTCTGCGAAAGTGATGTTGCACTGGAACATGGTGAGATCTCAGAGGTAACAGCTACATTTTGTCTTCACACTGCTTCAGCCATCGGAATCATTTGGCAAGGACTGGCGAGCTGTAAAGGAGTGGTGCGTTGGCTTCCCCCCGGAGACCTTAGGCAACTCTACATGGATAAGATTTGGTAATGCTTTAATATGTTTTAACATGATTTGACCCTTGCTTGTAGAGTTTCTTGTTTGCGGGTTTTGAATTGCCCATGTCAACCAAATGATTTTTGAATTGATGACAAGGTGTGAAAGGTCCAGCTGTTCAAACAGGACTCAACGAAAACTCAAAACGTCTCAAGACTCAATCCAGCCTTTCCAGCATTTCCAGTCCTTGAGCATTTCCGTTCCAGCTTGAGTCAGGTGAAGTGATTGAGGCTACTTTGCGTTTCCATCAAAGCCCAACACCCATTCAAGTCGTGCGACTCTCCTCCGTCTTGGATCGGATGCATCGATGACTCTTTATGCGGCCAAATTTGGAAATGATATTCAAGTCAGGATCCCAGTCGGGAAAGCGTGATTCCTTTAAAGGCCGCATGAAGATCATGACGCGCCAATTTTCGAGATCCCAAGAAAGCGTCTCCCAGTGCTCAGACAACAGCAACACTCTCAAGAATGCTACCGGTGCACCCAAGATCCCTGGGTCATTTTTGTTGGTCCGAATGAATGCAGACATGGCCAAGCTCTCCAAGATACAGGCAGGGTATATTAGTCAGTGTATGCTTATGCGATGGATCGTAGAAGAATACATTCAAGACAAATTCAGTTTCATTATTTATCGAAAAAGAAGATCAGAGAAGAGAAAGGCAGAAGAAAGAAGATGCAGGTGCGCGAAAACGTAGGAAAGTCGCGAAACACTGTGTTTTTCCAATGATTTGTGGCTCCGGAGGGTCGAAAAGTGGGCTCGCTAAAGCGGCGGGTGCGGAGCCATCTGGTGAGATGAGAGGTGAAAAATTGCACGCCGTTGTGGCGCAAAGCACATTTGGAAGCCAAAATGCTACAAACACCTCAACGTCGGAACACTTTTGGATGTTGAGATGTGGAAAAGTGCACGCCGTTGTGGCGCGAAGCACATTTTGATGTTCAAAAGTGTTAATTACACCGGGAAGGCGGACACAGCATCCAACACCAAGGCGGACACCTTAAGAAAGCATTAAGAACCCCTAACAGTACACTGGTTGAAAAAAAATGCAAAATCAGACCACCCACCACGAAGGGAAACAAGAAGACAGACAAGTTGGGAGACAAGCTGGGGAGACAAGAAGGAAGACCAGCTCAGAGACAAGCTGGGAGACAAGGGAGACAAAACCTCGGGAAGGCGGACACACCATCCAACACAGGGAAACAAGAAGGGAGACAATGGGAGACTAAGAGGGAGACAAAACCGCGGGAAGGCGGACGCACCATCCAACACAGAACGTTACAGGCACACATGTGGGGAGACAATGGGAGACAAAAGGAGACAAGACCTTGGGATGTGGGACACACCGTCCAACACAGGCACACATGTGGGGAGACAATGGGAAACAATGAAACGCAACCGGAGACAACGGGAGACGGGGAGACAAGAAGGGAGACAATGGGAGGCAATTGGGCGGACAATGGGAGGCAATGGAAGACAAGTGGAGACAAGACCTTGGGGAAGCGGACAAACCATCTCACACAGGCTCACATGTGAGGAGACAGTGGGAGACAAGAGACAAGACGTCGAGGAGGCGGACACACCATCCAACAAAGGGAAACAAGAAGGGAGATGGGAGACAAGGGGAAACAAGACCCCGGGAAGGCGGACACACCATCCAACACAGGCAGACACGAGGAGACAAGACCGCGGGAAGGCGGACACACCATCCAAGGCTGAGGCACCATCCATCACAGGCACACATGTGGGAGACAAGGGGAGACAAGACCTCGAGAAGGCGGACACACCGTCCAACACAGGCAGACAAGACAAGACCCCACCCAACACAGGCACACATGTGGGGAGACAAAAGGGAAGACAAGACGTCGAAAAGGCGGCACAAGTGTGGGCAGACAATGGGAGACAATGGGCTCAATGGGAGAGAAGGGGAGAGAAGAGCTGGGGAAGGCGGACACACCATCCAAAAGAGGCACCCTGGGGGACACGTGGAGACCAGGGAGACAAGACCTTGAAAAGGCGGGCACACCATCCAAGAAAGGGAAACAAGAAGGGAGGTGGGAGACAATGGAAGATACAAGGCGAGACAAGACCTTGGGAAGGCGGACACACCATCCAACACAAACGTATATTGTGGGGAGACACTGGGAGGCAACGGGAAACAAGGGGAGACAAGACCTCGGGAAGGCGGAAATGCCATCAGGCAGACATACCATCACAGGCACACACGTGGGGAGTCAAGACGTCGTGAAGGCAGGCACACCGTCCAACACAGGCAGATAAGACAAGACCCCATCCAACAAAGGCACACATGTGGCGAGACAATGGGAGACAAAAAGGAACGACAAGGCGTCGAAAAGGCGGACGCACCATCCAACACAGGCACACGTGTGGGGAGGCAATGGGAGACAATTGGCTCAATGGGAGAGAAGGGGAGACAAGACCTCGGGCACACCATCCAACACAGGCACACATGTGGGGAGACAATTAAACAATGAGAGACGATGGGGGGCAATGGGAGGCAAGACGTCAGCAAGCCGGACGCACCATCCAGCAAGGGAAAACAAGAAGGGGCACAATGGTAGACAAAGGGAGAATCCAACAAAGGGAAACAAGAAAGAGTACAACGGGAGACAAAAGGAGACAAGTCCGTCGGAAAGGCGGACGTACCATCCAACAAGGGGAAGCAAGAAGGGTACAGTGGGAGACAAAGGGAGACAAGACCATCCAACAAAGGCGAACAAGAAGGCGTACAGTGGGAGACAAAGGGAGACAAGACCCTCGGCAAGGCGGACACACCATCCAACAAGGGGAAACAAGAAGGGGTACAATGGGAGACAAAGGGAGACAAGACCTTCGGGAAGGCGGACACACCATCCAGCACCAAGGCGGACACCTTAAGAAAGCATTAAGAACCGCTAACAGTACTCTGCTTGGGAAACAAGAAGGGAGACAAGGGGAGACAAAAGGGGAGACAAGGGGAGACAAGACCCGCGGGAAGGCGGACACGGCGGACACACCATCCAACGGGGAGACAAGGGGACGCAAGGGGAGACAAGGGGAGACAAAGGGAAACAAGAAGGGAGACAAAGGGAGACAAGGGGAGACAAGACCCTCGGGAAGGCGGACACACCATCCAACACCAAGGCGGACACCTTAAGAAAGCATTAAGAACCCCTAGCAGTGCACTGTTTGGGGAAAAACTGAGGGATTCGGATCGCTTATGGAAGTTGAGATGTTCAAAAAGCGCGTGCCGTTGTGGCGTGAAGCACATTTCCAAGTCAAAATGTACAAAGCACACCATGCTCGGACCACTTTTGGAAGCTGAGATGTTAAGAAAGTGCACGCCGCGAAGCACATTTTGATGTCAAACGTGCTAAAAACTCAGAGCACTTTTGGAAGTTGAGATGTTCAAACAGCGAACGCCGTTGTGGCGCAAGATTAATTTCGAAGTAGGCATATTATATAAAAGGCGCTCTTGGACGTTCACAACAAGACAACAACAACTACAGCTACAACAGCAACTATTACAACTACCATTTCGCCATACTAGAATTACAAGTGCGACTGCGACTACAACTGCGACTACAACTGCGACTACAACTGCGACTACAACTGCAACTGCAACTACAACTGCAACTACAGAACACTACAGTACACTACACTACATAACAGTTCACTACAGTACACTACAGTACACATCAGTACACTACAGTACACTACAGTACGTCAAAGTAGACTACAGTAGACTACAGTACACTACAGTACACTACTTACATTACATTACAAGTACAACTACACTACGCTACACTACACTATGCACTACACTGAACTAGTTACACAACCGTAAAGTACACTAGACTACGTTACGGTACTACGGTACAGTACAGTACAGTACACTATACTACACTAATTACACTACACTACAATTACAACTCCAACTCCACTTCACCACGCCACATGCAGCAGTTGTGGGTGACGTGACCACTGCAACCACTCCAAAAAACACAGCTCCAACTACCTTTCGGTCCATCAGTGGATTTGCTCTGTCATCCATGCATCACAACAACGCACCTCTCCTATAATTCTATATTTGAAACTTCCGCCGCCGCCTTGTGCGGTACTACTGGTACGATGTCATATGCAATTCAACTTTGAACTTGTGAGCTCGGTATGGGAGAGCAGGTCATGTACCATTCTGCGCGCTACCACCAGACCGGACCACCAGAATTTTTGTTTCTGGTTTTCTGTGATGGCAAAAGCCCAAGGTTTTTCTGCGGTGCTCTCGCAGCCTTTCCGAATGTTCGCTCAAATTGGGGATACTTTTCGCACTAGATCACTTTACACAGCCCAGCTGCATTTTGCAAACTCCGCGGTCCCTTTTTTTGGTCTTGAATTCTAGAGCCTGTGTCTTTCAAATTCTGATTTAGGCCGTTCGAGATGCAATCCATTTGGTCCTGTCTCCACACCATGTAAACATTGTCAAGGCGCGAAAGCTTTGCACAATCCTACAGAAACCTGCTTGATGTACAGCAAGCGTTAGTGTTTGGAATTAATTCAGATCCAGCCGTAAAGCCTTCAGGCGGTCATGTCAAGTCATGTCTACAATTGACTCGTTGACAGTTTATAAGAAGAAGTAGGTTCACTAGGTATTGGCGCCCATAGCGACCCTGAGTGATTTGATGACTGTTCAAATAGCACAACGCACGAAACCTGCATTTTCGACATGTTTTCATTCAAGGAGACTTTTCACTATCTTCATTTTGTGTATATATTATTTGAAGGAGGGCCAGCTTTCCAACTCTTTTTCCCCAGGGAATTGCGGTGTATAGTATTCAGTTTTTTTGAAAAAGAACGGGATGTGGATGCAACATCTTCGTTCCGCCTATTGACTTACCAAGCAGGGTAATGCTTAATAGCGAAAAACAAGGTTAATAGCGAAAAAAAACGGTTAATAGCGAAAACTTGTTTTGTGTATCTATATATATATACACCTCTCTCTACACATACACATACAGAAGGGGAGAAGGTACTCCCCTTTAAAATAGAGGAGCATCTGGACTTCCCGTTCCCTTCCCGTTCCCCTTTAAAATAGACGAGCATCTGGACTTCCCGTTCCCTTCCCGTTCCCCTTTAAAATAGAGGAGCACCTGGACTTCCCGTTCCCCTTTAAAATAGAGGAGCCTCTGGACTTCCCGTTCCCTTCCCGTTCCCCTTTAAAATAGAGGAGCACCTGGACTTCCCGTTCCCCTTTAAAATAGAGGAGCACCTGGACTTCCCGTTCCCCTTTAAAATAGAGGAGCACCTGGACTTCCCGTTCCCCTTTCAAATAGAGGAGCACCTGGACTTCCCGTTGCTACCTGGACTTCCCGTTCCCCTTTAAAATACAGGAGCACCTGGACTTCCTGTTCCCCTTTCAAAAAAGGCTTGGGCAATGCCAGATGCTGGAAGCATGCACCTGGTTGAAAAAAGGGCCAACGAGAAATGCAAGTGAAAGTTGGCTCCTTTCAACCAACCCCCCCAAGAATGAAGACAAAACAACAAGCTTCACAGCCTAGGCAAACTGCAATGTGAGATATGCTATCCACATTCTACTTTCAAGTCAGAGCAGCGGATTCAAGCGCAAGTGCAAACAAACGTTGCTGCCCGAGGAGAACTCGTACCATCGTACCAGAAAGAGGAATACTGCGTTTTCCTGTGGGGTTGCTAACACCTCACGACCTTGCGGGTCAGTGTGTTTCATACTTATTCTATGAATTTTCGCTCTCGAACTTAGTGAAGGGGGCCGGGGGAACTTACACGGGCTGTTCCTAGAGATGACCGCATCGGATTTGGAGGCTGGAGTTTACGTGCTGACCTTCTCACAGGAGTCAGGAACGCAGCTTTTGAGTTTGGTTCCACCGATGGTTGTCAGCCTGGCCACAGTCTCCCAGCAGGTCGCATAGCTAATAATAGCTATCTAGACAGTAGACATTTATAGGCATATATTTGACCACAGCCTATTTCAACAAGAGTAAATTGTGTGGATGGTGTTCAGCCGCAAGAGACCATGGAGAGAATGATGGCTTGACGCAGACGATGCAGACGTTTCGAGACTGCTTTGCACCGCTGTCCGAAGTTGCCCCAGCGACCGCTGCTCCGCGGTGCGTTTTGCAGCGCACAGGGAACCGTTGCTTTGTATATTTTGGATACGCAGAAAGGTTCTTGCATGTTCTTGCGCTTTCCAATTTGGGGTGACAAGAACTTAAGACAGGGAAGCCATGACAAGCTGCCGACTCATGTAACAAGCTGTCTCAGCCGTGTTTCTTACAGAGAAGAGACAAGGCTTGCAGCTTTCACCAGCAACGCTGATCAAGCTTGCATTGGTTTTTTACCCGGATTGATTCGGGAATGATACATCCGGATTCAAAGCTTGAGGTGACCCGGGCAAGTGACCAGAACAACACAATTTAAAAAGGTCTGACCCAGGAACTCAAGACGCCTCTATAAGCAATTACAGGATATTACAGGCGTGTAGATATTTGGGACTTGAAATGGAAATCCATGAGCAGATGAATCCCTGGAGCAAGATAGCAGGCTGCAGGACTGGAGGTTAGCATAGCGCAAAATCATTTGAACCTTTCTCCCTGGTTTCAATGTGTTTCAACCTCGGTGTCAGCGATATGTGTATGCCTGCAGCGGTGTAGACATAAAAGGGGTAGGCTTACACTTGTGGGCTCAGAGAATGCCACAGTGCAGCAGTTTGCCGATGCCCAGGAGTCTCTCTACAAGCTTTATCCTCAAGCTTGGGCCCAGTTTGGAAGTTTGGAGATCATGCCCAGCTTGTGCAGCGAAAATACTGCTGAATCCGGAAACCATCGGAAACCAAAAACGAGACCGGACCGACGCGTTTCGCGTCTTGTGTCCTTGGACCTTCAGGTCAAAGCAGGGAACTGGCAAAACCAAGGTCTTCCCAGAAACACTCTTGCAGACCTCAGGAGAGAATATTTTACTCAGAAGATAGCAGCAGTATGTATGCGAAAGATGCAGGAGTGAGCAGACATCATGAAGTGATAGCCTTGGCATTTCTGAAGAGTGTTTTGTCTGAGGGCTTTTTCATGACCAGGGTTCGTTGGGCCCCAGACAGCATGCATCTGGAAAGGGATGCTTACGGTACACCAATACACGAAGCAAGCCTTTGCAGAGCTGCAGTGTTTCCAGTGAGTTTTTAGGATATTTGAGCTGAGCGGCAGCCTGAGAGGCAACTGACCACTGTGGGCTCTGTGCAAAGCACGAGCATTGCCATGTCTCAGCTTGACATGAGCCAATTGTATTGAGTGAATCTCGTAGAAACGACTTCAGGGCGGGATTTTCTCGGATTATGTCATGTCTTAGATTTTCAGTGCAGCTCTGAGTCCCATCAGCATACACTCTACTAAACAGTTTTGGGGGGATATACGATGCTTGGTAGATGAACAACGCAGGGAAACTGCCCAAGAAATTTTTATTGAAACCTTTACGATACAGTTAGGAAAATGCACTGCCTACACCGAATCATATTGCTGCTCCATTTTGCTCAAATGTATGAAGACTTGAGACATTTGCCATTTCTTTGCGTGCTTTTCAACATCGCAGTCAATGTCACCTAAACATGAAGCTGTTTGGCCCTGCAAGGCAGCAAGACAAACCAACTTTGGTGCGATTGGGTTTGATTGGTAAGGCATTTGTCCATACTTGGCAGACTGATCAGTGCTAATCACCTCCTCACTGGCCTGGCCAGGCTCTTTTGATTGAGAGCGCGTGGATACCACAGCGTGGCCAGGCAGGGCTGTCTGGCTGTAGCCATTGTTTGTCACGTGGGCATCGGGAAGAAATTCTGTCAGTGACATGTTTTGACAAAAGAATGCCTTTGTCAGGCAGCCCTTGATCTTCTTCGCAGCTGGCTTCAGGGAGGCAGCCAGAGAGCTAAGTCATGCTGCAACAAGAGAACAAAGATGAACAATGTTCTCCAATGCTCCCGAGGCCCTGAGCAAAGGTCACAAGATTCATAAGTCACCCATGTTATATTCTATATACTGTATGGTGATAGAGATATATGATATATGATGTATGATATATGATATATTATATGTTATTTAATCTATATTATGTCATTTATTTTATGTACATTTGAAATTAAATTGTTTCATGTTATATTGTATTTAAATTTGCAATAATTTAAACTATGGTAAACTATTATAAAATATAATGACATGTGATAAAGTAGAATAGAATAGAATATAATATAACAGAATGGAATATAATATAATATACTGTAATATAGTATTTTATAATACTATACAATATAATGTAGTATGTTACAAAACATATACAATATAATGTAATGTAATATAATATAATTTAATATAATATGATGTGATATGATATGATATAGTATGATATCATACAAGATAATTTATATTGACACAATATTATATTAAATGAAGTTACATTATTTTATATTATATCATTCTCATGTTATATCATGTTTTATTCTGTTTCATTATACTATTTGTTTTTTTAACTATATTTACTTTAAGGCTTGTTATTTTATAGTATATTATATTGTTATATTGTGTTATATTAGGTCTTATTTTGCTATATTATGTTTTTTTGATATTAGATTTTATGATATTATATGCTCTTTCACAATATGTTACTATATTGTATAATGATATTCTATTGCTGTATTTTGTTATATATATATATATTCATCATATAATATATTGAATATTGTCATTTGACATGTTATATTTTTCTTTTTACATCAGCTCATATTTTATCATATCATGTTATATTACTCATTTTCTATTGAAAATATAATATATATATATTATATTAATAAGTGGGGCTGGCGCCCCCATGCCGCCGACCCCTGGGACCAGTTGGCTCATACAGTGTCCCGGGGGCGGTGGGTGAGACACGGAGGCACGGGGGGTGGTAGCAGAGCTAAAACACCATGGCAGTGAAGGGCAGATCCGGCCCGCGGCCCGTAGCCCAGAGTGCCAAACGTCACTTTCTGAACCGACTAGTCATGTTGTATTTTGTTTTTTGGATCATCTTATAATGATTACTCTTTTATATTATATATATATATTGCATTACATCAAATTAAATTAAATTGTAGTATATTTTATTTTAATTAATTATATCATATTATATATTCTAATATATTCATATCATATCATACCATATTTCTTTTTTTAAATGTTGCGCTATATTAAACTATATTATACGATATCATATTTTTAAGCATATTATATATGTTCCATGATATTATATTAGGTGTGTTTTTTAATTATACATTTAACACATATTCATTCTTCAAACCAGTCTGCGCCTCGATTCCTCGATCGGTTGGCCTTCCGCTTTGCTGGATGCATATCCCATTCCATGACTCTCCAGACATTCAAACTTCAAGTGGCACCAACTCTGTAGATCTGCGGATGACGCGAGACCTGAGACACGAGACATGCATCTGATTCCACACTCCACGATTCTCTAAGGAGCGCCTTTCCTGGTGAAGCAGTTTGCATCTTACTTCGCCCTTTGGCAGAAGGAGATGCTTCAGGCCTGGCCTTTTCGAAGCATGGCAAAAGGATGTAGCAAGATGTAGCTCGTAGTATCCGGTAGGGAACAAAGTTACACGTACGACAATGCTACAGCAACGCTAAACAATGTGTAGTTGACCTAGTTGTAACGTACTTGTATTGCATCACATGACAGTTTGCTCAGTCACAGGTACCGCGCAGAATATCAGAGGTGCAGGAGACGCAGGACAGGTTTCAGATCACGGCCCTTGGTTGGACAACATTTGACAAAAAAAACAAAAGGGTGTTATTTTCGCCTCTGATTTTTTCCCCCTGCTGACGGCATGACGCTAGTCAGATTTACAGGCCTTTGATTTTTCAGTTCCTAGGATGCTTGTGATCCACAAGTAGATGACATCATTTGGGAGTCAGAGCCTTGGGAAATGAACTGCAAAAATGCCGGCTGCACCACGGGACGAAGAATGACAACATCTCGACATAGGCAGCATTTCACTGCACTGAATTGTTGGAATGTCTTTTTGAATGTCTTCCTAGCTGTAGGCATGTGCAAGAGCTCATTTTGGCAGCTTCTGGGCCTCACTGGCAAGAGCAGTGTCTCCATGGCAAGGTGATGGGCGGATACGGTGGTGGCGTGGGATGTACATAGCGTGAAAATTCAGTGAACAATAAAAAAAATAGTATATATAAAAACATCTATCTAATTAATCTAATTCTAAGACCAAATGCAAGTTGAGATAGCGTATCCCGCTGTTCCATCTTTTGCATGAGTAGCCTTGCGGTTCTCAACAAAAAACATCATTCCCTTGGCTCAAGTGGTTAAATCAAAATCTTCTCCACATGCTCTTGCAGGCAGTGGAGATTATACTTGAGCATTGCGCCGTGTTACAGCCTGAACTTCGCCGTGAGGAACAAGGGGGCCGTGGGCTACATCATGCTGCAAAAATGAAGTGTGTGAAAGCGGCTTCCAAGTTCGGATGTTCGTTGCTGGGAGTTTCAGGGTTTCCCAAAGCGCTTTTAGAAACGATAGAACTTTCATGAACTTTTCTGTATCAGGCCTTTGCCGAATTGCTGCTGCGAGTGGGCAGTGTTGGCGCAGATGCGTCAGTGGCTTGTGCAGTAGGGAGCCAAGAAGATCAAGAAGAGAGAAGAACTTAAGCAATCGCGATGACTTTCCCATGCCAGGTTGCTCACTGCATTGAAACATGCTTCAAAGCATTCAAAGCTCATCCGGTTCTTATGATTTTCAGGAGCATGTTTCCAGACAAAGCGTTTTTGTGACCTGGTGTGACTCAGCAAAGGAATGCCTAGTTGCTGAACTAAGGGCTTAGAACATTTTAGAACATCTAAGAACACCGTTTAGGTTTGGTTAAGGAAACCAACTGTGGACAGCACTGCGAAAGGGCGAGCAACTTCAATTCAAATAGCCGACGAGAACATGTTTTCTACTCTGAGCACTGCGGATCTTTCCATATTTGCTGTGCAGTATTGTTGGGTTATGTTGGGTAGTTCTGACTGTGTGTACGTAAACCTGGACCTTTGCCCAATTTGACATCTTGCACAGGAGTATATAAGTTTATAAGCGCGGTAAACATGGTAGATTGAGATAGACTGAGACTGGAACAAAGGTAGACTGAAGGCATTGCTTCATGAGGTGGCTCTTGCCAGGGGTGAGTTTACCGCACAAGCGCAGGTGGGGATCGGAATGTTGTTGCATCGTATCACATATCAGCATAATTAATTCTGCATTTTGGGTGTTCAGCTGGATGCAGATTTTCCAGATCAGAGTTCTACAATTGCTTCTAGATTTGGGAAAGCTTGGATTCCGATTTCACGCTCACAGATAGAAGTGAGAAGGAATGAATGTCTTGATGAGCGTCTCAAGATTGATGTCGCAGAGCAGGTGATGAAGCGTTGCTTTGCGGTTTTTTGGTCTCGCTTTCCATTTGAGGCAGAGTCGTTGGATGTTGGACTTTTGTTGTGAATCGAACAAAGTGTTGGAAGATGCTCGAAGCAAATCGAAGCAATCTTGAAATCTGCATCTTTCTGCCATTTCTCTGCGAAAAGATTTGGCAGGTCTTTGCAGCCATGGCAGGACTGGTTCACAGGCCGGGTGAATATGGTGAATCCAATCCCAAAGAAATCCAAAGAAGCCTGACACTTCTGACGATCTCTGACGCATCTAATGAATTCTAATGACCTTAGGATGCCGTAAGATGCAGGCCGTACTTGCCGTACTCGTACATTGCGGAAAAGGATAGCTATCAAAAGGTCGAATCCTGCACCGCAGATTCCATGTTTTTTTTTTAATTCGTAAACCAATTTCCCAAGTCCTTAGAAGAGCTTGGTCTTCTCAGGACTGATGGAATCTGCCGGTGAGATTTCAAGATGACTTTTGAGTTAGCTGTGGCTGCCAGGGTCTTGAAACTGGATGATCAGTCTACCAACGAGGTGGGGACATAGCCAGGTGTTTGTCAAAAAATAAGGCCACCCGCGAGTCTCGTCTTACCCCCAATCGTGTCAATTTAAAGTGTCGATTTTAAGTGTCTTCACATTGTTCTTCAACGGCATGGTGCTTGCAATCATGTGCACCTGGACCAGGCGCTCCTGGACGGTGTCCCTGCAGGTGTTCAGGAAGATGCCCATGCAGAGGAGCCCCAGAATACGATGACATGGCAGATATGGCACGGCATATGCCACTCTACATATCACGTGCATTTCGACATCGGTGACTGTGCCCACATCTTGCCAAAATTATCCAAATTCTAACGGGTCAAGTCATTCGCCGGTCTGAATATTAGGAAACAATCACGTTTGCAATGCCGTGCATGAGGGTTTCTTTATGCCTTTCAGGACATGGTCCACTTGATCCTGTGCCTGTTGGTCTTCTGGACCATTGCCAGAGACAAAGCTTCAGAAGGTGAAAGTGCCGCGAGCTCGACCAGGGCAACAAGATGAACCAAGATGACATAAGATGAAACAAGTTTGCAATGCAAACTTGTCCACGTACGAATCACAGTCAGTAGAAGACTTGATAGCTTGCAATGCAGACAGACTATGGAAATTAATGGAAATCTATCAAACTTGCAGAGGAAGTGATAGTTTTGATATCGCAGTGTTGAAGCCCCAGGTAGAACAAGCGCAAGAAGGGCTCAAGGCGTTGGTTGGCCAGGCGGGTTTGCCGCGCAGACGAAACAGCCTAAAGGAGGATAAGAAGGAGCTTGTATAAAAACTCTGCCTGGACTTTCCAACTTGTGCTCGTCACCAAGATATCGATGGTTCTTGTGGCTCCTCTGAGTGTTTCATGGCTACTATCCAATGCCATCGAATTTACTGGTTCGACGCTTCTTCCTCTTGTGGAAATGTTGGAGTGTTGGAATTCTCCTGGAAGACACTCAGAATACGACTTGTTTGGTCTCTCTTATGCATTAGAAGGGTGTCATCGATGAATTTTATCCATAAGCATTGCATTTTTTCCGTTTGAAATAGTTTATACTAGTATAATTATAATGATAATCAATAATAATGATAATACTAATATTAATTATATATATAATTATATATATATATGTTCTTAATTGTTGTTATTTATATAGTTCAAGTATTTTTGTGTCTGTCAAGTTCAGGACATGCAGACTCCCGGCTTGTTGGAAATACTTGCCGGTCTGTGGCTCAGTTTCCTGCCCAGAAAGTCGCAGTTGTTGAACAAGTCTGGAGATGGGCAGAGATGGGGAGACACTGTTCAGAAAAAAACGTGAAATCATGATGTAACATATAAAAAACGGTGGCGTCGCGTTAGATTTGGAATAAAGCTCTAACAACGGGTCCAACCGACAGAAAGGTTTCAAGATATTTCAAGATGTGTCAAATTTGTCAAATGTCAAGCTGCCCGTGTCTGGTCCCATGGCTCCAGAGACAGCTGTGATCCAAAGCGACCACACGAGTCACACGAGTCACACCACAAATTCAGACATGGCCTGACAGGCCATAGCTATCCATAGCTCACATCATGCCAAAGACATTGTGAGATATAGAATGATATAGATGATAGAATGTCTGATTTTGATTGATTTTGTGAGCCCCGATTGCAGCAAATTGATTGAACAAGATAGGCACAAAGTCAAAAACTGCAACCAATTGACAAAAAGTTATTGCTGATGCACCTCTTTTCGCAATGCAGTCGATACATGTCGATACATGTCGATAGCCAAAAGTTGTGATTCTGGGGACAATGTGCTAGTCGCAGCTCGGAGTGGATCCAAGACTTTGGCGGAAGCAGATTTGGAAACCCGGCGTTTGGAATCGATTTTCACAACGCCTGAGGCCTAGAAATCATAGGCAAAATGAGCAAGTCGTTAGAATAGGTGAACAACTGGAGAGTGACAGTATGTGAATTATGCTGACTCTTCAATTCGAGAACTTTTCGTTGCATGCAACAAATTGAACATCTGCTCAGGCAATGGAGCAGCAAGAGCAGCAAGAGCGGCAAGAGCGGCAAGAGGAGGAGGATGCCCCGGCTGAAGAAGAGGACATCAGTAGTTTTAGGTGCGATGCGCCGATGCGATGGCATGGGGATACCAAGCGATGCCCACGCTTTTGGACGGTTTCGCCCTCCGAAAATCGGCAAACAATCCTACAACAGCATGCAACAGCTCCTTGATGCACTCATTCTATGCCCATTTGGTTTTGATGCTTGGTCTGCTCCAATGTGCAGGCCCGGCGACACCGTGGGGTAGCCAAGAAGAGTCACCCACTGGAAAGGGCAGAAATGAAGAGGTAAACAGATCAAGCAACAGCTGCAGCTAAAGGATGCCACTTTTCTTTTTACGTGGCTCCAATGTGTCAAGAAGTGTCAAGTACAACGGCATGCTTCGAGGTCATGACCATTCGGAAGCGCATCCGAGAGGCTAGAAAGGTGCCAAGCCCCCGACGTGCAAACTGCATCAAGTTGGTCCTTTTGGGATGGACGACGATACTGGCCACATTGCGAACATATTGCGAACATTGTTGGGCGCAATGTGGCAATGTTAGGCAATGTTAGGCAATGTCAGGCAATGTTAGGCAATGTTCACTTGCGGAAAGTCAAGGTATTCCACCGTATTATGTGTATACTTTGGTTCAGGAAGCCAAAAGAGGAGAGATGAGAGAAGGAAATGAGGGATGATACTGAAAGGGGTTCCCCCTGAAACAGAAATTCACAGAAGAGACAACAACTGAAACTCTCCCCAGGCCAATCAAAGTCCTTTGATCCCAGATCCAGTTTCTGTCGTTGTTGCAGATCAAACGTTGTAAAGATGTTGTGATTTGATGTATATATATATATATATTCCCAACAGCAGGGCCTGTTGGGTTTCAATCTCTAGGGCTGGGGCTGGCTCGCGGGGACTTGCAGCCTTCAAAATCCGGAATGGAACCCTGGAACCCTGAAACCGAACCCTGGAACCCTGGAACCCTGAAACCTTGGAACCCCGGAACCCTGGAACCCTGGAACCCCGGAACCCTGGAACCCTGAAACCCTGGAACCTTGGAACCCTGCGACCGTGGAACCCTGAAACCTTGGAACCTTGGCACCCTGGAACATTCAAGGATCCTTGGAACCCTGGAACCCTTGGAACCCTTGGAACCCTTGGAACCCTTGGAACCCTTGGAACCCTTGGAACCCTTGGAACCCTTGGAACCCTTGGAACCCTGGAAACCTTGTGAAACCGTGGGACCCTGGTACCCTGGAACCCTGGAACCCTGAAACCTTGGAACCCCGGAACCCTGGAACCCTGGAACCCTGGAACCCTGAAACCTTGGAACCCCGGAACCCTGGAACCCTGGAACCCTGGAACCCCGGAACCCTGGAACCCTGAAACCCTGGAACCTTGGAACCCTGCGACCGTGGAACCCTGAAACCTTGGAACCTTGGCACCCAGGAACCCTCAAGGATTCTGGAACCCTGCTACCTTGGAACCCTGGAACCTTGGAACCCTGCAACCCTGCACACTTGGCACCCTGCTGGGATCCTGGAACCCTGAAACCCTGGAACCCTTGGAACCTTTGGAATCCTGGAAATCTTGGAATCCTGAAACCGTGGGACCCTGATACTTTGGAACCTTGGAATCCTTGAAACCCTAAAACTTCCAAACCCTAAACTCTATGCGCGCTGCGCGCGCTGCATGCAATAAAGTAAACCCTAAAACTTCCAAACCCTAAACCCTAATACGCGATGCGCGCGCTGTGTCCCAGAGAAGTAAACCCTAAAATTTCTAAACCCTAAACCATCGTGTTATGCAATTTCTAAACCCTAAAGTTTAACCCGCGGTATGCGCGCTGTATGCAATAAAATAAATCCTAAAACTTCCAAATCCTAAACCCTAATGCGCGCTGCGTGCCAGAGATAAACCCTAAAACCTTCAAACCCTAAACACTAGTGCGCGCTGCGCACGCTTTGTACAATAGAAATAAACCCTAAAATCTTTAAACCTGAAACTCTCGCGTCATAGAGGTAAACCCTAAAATTTCTAAACCCTAAACCCTAAACCCTAACGCGCGTTGCGCGCGCTGTGTGCCATAGAAGTACCCCTTAAAATCTCCAAACCCTAAACCATCGTGTTATGGAGGTTAAACCTAAAATTTCGAAACCCTAAAGTTCAACCCACGCTGTGTACGCTGCATGCAATAAAATAAACTATAAAACTTCCAAACCCTAAACCCTAATGCGCGCTGCGCGCACTGCATACCACACACATAAACCCTAAAACTTTCAAACTTTAAACCGTAACGCGTACTGCGCGCATAGCAAGCCATACAGGTAAACGGTTAAATTTTCAAACGCTGCGTGCCATAGAGGCAAAGCCTAAAACTTTCAAACGCTAAACCGTAAAGCAGGCTGCGCGCGCTGCGTGCCATAGAGTGCTCCTTGAAAGTGATTACATGTCATACTTTAGTGGCATCCTCCAAATTCATTAGTCAGCCTTTGTTAATCCAGGGCCCATTTTATACATGTCATTTTCTTGGTCGTGGCGCCATTTTAGGATCACACTGATGACCTAAGCTTTGGCCTTAACTATTATGCAGGCAAGCGATATCAGCACGCTATGGTATTGGAAGACACAGGGTTTGCCCGTAGACCAGCCAAAAAATCGATTTTCCACACTGAACAATTGGATTTAACACATTTAGAATAGGAGCTCCGCCTGATTCAGATTTCATCACTTAAAAGGTACCCATGCCTGACTAGCCTTCATGACTTAAAGCGTAACCATACCCGACTTAAGGGAACCATGCCTGACTAGCCTTCATAATTAAGAGGTACCCACCCACGCCTGACTTAACAGAACCCATGCCTGACTAGCCTTCATAAGGTACCCATGCCCCTGAATTCAGGGAACCATGCCTGACTAGCCTTCACAATTAAAAGGTACCCACTGGAACCATGCCTGACTAGCCTTAATGACTTAAAAGGTAACTACACCTGACTTAATACCTGATTTACTGGTTTTGCCTGATTTTGGAAAAACGCAGGGCCGAAATTTGCAGGGCGCGGGCCGGAATTTGCCGGGCCCGGGCCGGAATTTGCCGGGCTGGGATTTTGGGGTCGTGCCTAAATAGGATTTTTGCAAAAATCGCGCATGACTGAAGGGAACCATGCCTGACTAAACATCATACCAATCATCCCAAAAGAATCCAATAATTCCAGCAAGTGATGCCTGACCAATCCCTGCGTCATAATAAACCGTCTGCCCCTCCCCACCCAATAATGAACACACGGAATAGTTTTTTATATTTAGTGGGTATTTAGTATGAGGGTGCGAAACTTCCCCCTTGGTTAAAAAAATCTAAATTGGAAAACATTTTTTAAATAACATCTAACTAAAATATTGCCAAAATTGGATTCCGAAGCTTCCCCCTGACATTAAATTGAAAACATTCGTTTTAAAAAATGAACTTTATATTTCAAAACCGATTGAATTCCTATTCAAAATCTAACTCAAATCTTGCCAAATTGGATTTCGAAACTTCCCCTTATATTAAATTGAAAACCTTACTAATCCCCACCTCCTTTTACTAAACGTACCCTAAATACTAAAATATTACATTGATTCCTTTTACTAGGGTCCGCGTTAAATTTTGGGAAATTTCAGACTGGCCAGTTTGACTTTTAATTGATACCTTTTCAAAAACAAATTAAACATGAAGGTCCCATTTCAGGATTTCACCACCAAAAAAAAACCAGTCAGCCCCGGTGATTTTTTAAACTAGGGTCTTTTAAGGTCGAAAAAATAAGTATTTTATATTACAACGTTTATATAATATTGGGTGAAAACTTCGAAATCCACTTTTTGGCATGTCCTGGCAATATTTTTACTGGATATCAAAAGGAAATTTAATCGATTCTTGAAATCGAAAAAACATAGTTTTTTTATTAGTGTTTTTAATTTAATTTTAGGGGAAAACTTCGAAATCCAATTTTTAGCAATATCTTAATTATATGTTAAACAGAAAACTAATCGATTTTGAAATATTTTTTTTAAAATATATTAGGGCTGATAATTTAATATTAGAGAAAACATTTCGAAATCCGGTTTTTGTTTTTATTTTTGTTACTATAATTTAAAAGGAAATCGAATCGATTTCAAAAAAGAAAAAATAATATTTTATATTCGGGTTTTTTAATG